TCAGTATGTGTGTGTGTGTGTGTGTGTGTGTGTGTGTGTGTGTGTGTGTGTGTGTGTGTGTGTGTATGTGTGTGTCCGAATACATGTGGATGTTTGTGTGCATACAGGTCAGGGTGTGTATGTGTGAGAGAGAGAGAGAATACAAGAGAGAGAAGGGGAGAAAATAAAAAAAGCAACTTAGCAGTTTGTAACCAAAGAAGCACGTAAATGTGGGCTTTAGTCACTTTGGTTTGTGTGTGTGTGTGTGTGTGTGTGTGTGTGTGTGTGTGTGTGTGTGTGTGTATTTCTATTACTCATGTTGAACCATTAAATTTTAGGGTAAAGTCTTGGTTTTTGGTTAATGTAAGGGTTAGGTTTTGCATGTAGCGTTTATGGTTAAGTCTCCAGAGACTAAATGTAAGTCAGTGCAATGTCCTCCTAAGTGACAAAAAACAAGTTTGTGTGTCTGTGTCTGTGTTTGTTTGTCTGTGTGTGTGTGTGTGTGTGTGTGTGTGTGTGTGTGTGTGTGTGTGTGTGTGCACGTGTGCATGCGTGTGTTTCAAGAGGACAGCATAATGGAATGCCTCGGTTCAAGACTTGCCAAGAGCACTTTTCCCATACGCCAGGGAGCCAAGACTTCCCCAACCAGCCAAGAATAGCACAGACTTTCTCACTCTCTCTCTCTTTTACTCTCTTTCTCACCCACACACCCACACACTCACACTTTTTACTCTTTGGATTCAACAAGAAAGAGGGTGATAGTGTGAAGGAGGGAAGTACAGGCTCACAATTCAATCAGCACAGTGAAAGAGAGAGAATGAGAAAGAAGAAAGAGGAACATTTTGTGAATTATTATAGTTATGTAAACCTTGTGCAACATGCTTGGGCAATATTTCACATACGGTTATGCCAATAAGGCAATAAAGCAGACTTTCTGGTCAAATATCCAGTGGGGTCCAAAGGTCTGAGACCACACTGAAAATCTGATCTATTTTCATGTGTGTGTTTTCATGGGGCATTTACCAACTTGATTCCTGTGGACAAAAGGTCAGATATCCTATGTGTTCAGCGTGGATTTGATCTATCATCAAAGGCTCATTCAAGTCACTCTACTTGTTTACTAAGCAGCCTTGTGATAGTGAGAAAAATGGCATCAGAATTAAGTAAAGGTGTCAGAGGTCAAAATGTTATTCTAACCAAAGATATACCGGCATTTCACAGTGGATGACAGTGACAGAAGGAGACGAACCGAAACTGACAGTGAAACCTGTTGGTGGGAATATTGACCACGAGGAGAAGTACCACTCACACAGCTGCAGGGTAATGACCCCAAACACAACTCAAAGATTTGCAAGAACTACTTGAAGACCAAAGAAGACCAAAGAGTCCTGACTGTAATGGACTTTCCTCCGCACTCAACTGACCTCAACCCTATCGAACATTTATGGGGGGCAGTTTAAGACTGAGAAAGACTCTGTGACATCACGAGAAGCTCTCTGTCGACAGTGTCGGATCACACTTGGACAACATGGCTTCGTCAGGTTTGGCACAAACTTGTGGAGCCCATGATGGCTCGAGTGCATGCTGTCATTAAAGCAAAAGGGACAAACCAACATAGAATATGAAGTTCATTCATTCATACATTTGTCTCATATTGCTAAGCTGATATTATCATGTGTAATGAAAAAAAAAAAAAGTATTACAATCCAAACAAATCCAAAATAGAAGTATCTTGACTAGTGGTCTCGGACTTTTGGGCCCCACTTGACACGATCGCAACAATGATGTTTTTATCAAATTGTCACGCACACGAAACTTCAATGAATGAACTGAGAGGCAGATCATGGACGGAGAGAAAGAGAGAAAGCAAGTGAGAGAGGAAGACAAAGAAGACAAACAGCATACAACATACAGACAAATAAAAACGGGGACCTACTTTTTAACCACAGCCTGTTCTATAAAAATATAGTCAAAAAGTTTTATGCAATGTTTAATGAAAGCACCATCGACCCATTTAAGACCAGTGCTATGAAATGGATCAGGGACCTTCATACACAAGAGGATGATATTTCCTGGAATGACATGGAAAAACTTGACTTTCCATTATACCGAAAATAAACTAAGGCAATTAAAAATACTAAACAGACTATATTACAGTCCATCACAGCTGTACAAAACGGGAATACGGGATGACAGTAAATGCATAAAGTATGATGCTGCTGAAGGAACTCCATATGCTGTGGGACTGCATTAAAATTAAAGATCTCTGTTTTGGCATAACAAAGGCAGCAATGATCAACACTAATAGAGCCATTCCACTCACACCTCAAACATATTAATTGGGAGATTTGCATAACTTCAGCAGAGCTCCTTCAAAGAATAGTTCTTTTTGTTATGTATGGTCACAAAGAAGGTAATTATGAATAAATGGATTTCTTGAAACTCACCAACAGAGAGAGGATGGATCACTGAAGCAATAGAAATGATTAAGTTGGAAAAGACAGCTTTCAGACTGCAAAAATAATGAGCCAGAATATGATGAAACTCGGGCTCCAGTGGAAAGGTACCTCATGTTAATATTAAGAAGGAAGGCAGGAAGGAGAGAAAAAAAACTCAAGAGAGCACCATTTTTATTTTATTTCAATATTAGTTTTGCTGTTGGTGTCATAGTTATTATTTGGTTTGTCTTCTGATGTAAGCTAATAATGGTTGCTTGAGTCTCTGTGCTGAATGCTTCCTGTGCTGTAACCAAAGTGTTCAGTCAAACTAACTATGTTTTTGGCTGATATTGTTTGCATTGGTTAAGGGTTTAGATTTTAAATTGATTGGGAAGGATTATAAATGATAGGCTTGCTTTTTTGTTGATTTAGTACCAGTATTATGTAACCTTTATTTTTCCTGTTTGTATTTTGTGAGCTTATTTTAAAAAAAAAAGAAAAAAAAGAAAAAGAAAAAAAAAAGAGGGGTACCAGAGCTCACACAGAACAACAGGGAACAAAACTCCAAAAGCGCAGACATACTGTGGCAAACACTTTCAACTCATTTTCAGTGGGTTATCGCAAAAATATGAGGTAGTTAAACACTTCTTTTTTTTCTATCTTCAAAACTGGCAAAGAGCAGTGTTTAAATATGAATGGCTTTTCTCTTTCTCAAACATCTGCATCTCAAAGGACTTCAACAAAGCATCGCTCCAGATTTGATTTCACCCATTAAATTAATCTTAATATTTGCACTTAGATTGGTTTAATGATGTGTCTGAAAACCACACTACTCATATCCAGATTGCATCACTCATTCATGCAAAGGAATTATCAAGCAAATTCATTTTTAGCTGTCGTCTCTAGATTTTCAGCCGAGGTTGTTGCTCAGGACAGTGAGGGCTGCCCAGCATTACTTTTTAATGTCTGCACTGTTGATGCCTGTACTGTGCAATAATGAAATGTTTTTAATTAGTTTGTGATGCATATAATTAGCACAAAGCTGGACATATCAGCGCTGCCTTGAGACTCAACCTGCCAGTTAGTTTCCTGACTCTAGTAAATTCAAACATTAATCTTCCACTCTGTGCGCGGCTTCCTGGTGGAGGTCATTTAGTGTCTGTTATTAAACTCATGTCCATTGTTTATCGCTCATGACAGCCACAAACAAAGCATCCCTGCGGGTGAGAGGCAACTGGCAGATCATCTCTAAACATGCGAGGCAACGTGCGGGAGAGAACTTGAAAAACTTTGCTTAAATGTTTGTTCATATTGATTTTTAATGACTCACTGTAAAAACGCCTCATAGTGAGCAGAGAGACTATCCATCAAACAGAAGGCCCGAGTTCAAAACCTTGACCTCACGCATTTGCTTGGCTGAAATGTCTGTGGGCAAGATAATCACCAGCAGCTCTGACCCTGCGATCTTACTTCCCCGTGGAGGGGGAGAAAGTGAAAAGAGAATTTCCCGACTGGGAATCAGTACGAGTACAAAAAAAAAAAAGAACTGCAAGTGCTGCGAGTGATTCGGAGGAAAATCAAAGCAGTTGTAGTAGTGTGTGGTTGTGGTTCATCGGTGAACAAGCCAAGCATACACATAAGTAATAAATATAAACAAAGCAATAAACTACAATACACCTCCCACCACCACCACCACTACCACCACCACCACCTCCCCCCTCCTCATGTCTTACAGGGACATTATTCATAGGGTGTGTTTCATACTATCAGCACTGCCAACAAGGCTCCCATTCTCTCAGGAAAACCCTTCACCAACTGGTTCCTGAAGGTGTTATCTGTATTATAAATGTACTGGTGCTCTGACAGAGAGCTCAGATGCAGCCTCATGAACAAACACCCTGTCGCTGGGCAGGCTCGCTCTCCCATAGCCTAAAAATGCCTCTCCTCCAATCACAGCATGGGCAGGAAACAAACTTAGTTACCTCAGTTAGCCGAGGCCCACTGGCTTCATTTCAGGAACTGAATGATGCCTTCTTATCTTTCTAGTCTGAAATGGGCGGTGAATGGATGAGTCATGTACCACACTGCTTGGTCAAATGAGAGAAAAAGGGGATTATAAGAGGAAGCCACTGATTTGAACTGAGCTGTACTTGCAATGTGCTGTGGTTCAGAGCAGCAGAAACGGGGGAAACTTTGTGATGAGCTGCCACTTCACTCACATTTGCATCTGTGCTGTGACCAGGGTGACAGGTTTATCAGCAAAACAAGGCTCGTGGCTATGAGGAAAACACAGGGCTGGAATGTCCTTGATGTCAGAACCAACGACATCAAATTAAACATGACAGTCAGACTAACAGCTTTTAGTTTGGAATAGCAACATGGTAGCAGTTTGTCAGTAATGATTCAGCAGTAAGCAGTGAACCACTGTCTTCCAGCTTATCAAGCACAACCTCAATTCAAGATCAACTAAAAACATGGTGCCGGTCTCCATGTAAAAAAAAGAAAAAAGTTAATATTTAAAATGAATTCCACGGTATAGACACAGTACATGTACATTAATAGGAAGAACAGGAATATTCTCACCTCATTCAACACAACTCCTCCAGACCCCCCTGGTTTGTCAGCAGGTGGTACAGCCCATGGAGAGGGTTCCAGACTATCCCAGAATGCAGTGTGGTGACTCAGGGACTCAGCACTCCCTGGTGGATGAAAACAACAAAAGTTAAAACCAAACTAGGGAAAGGACTTTTTTTTTTTTTTTTTTTTTTTAAGGAATACAGACTGTAGCGTCCACGTTCACTCCAAAATCATACGAACTGTACGGCAGATATACACCGTGAGCATAAGCAGGAAGTGCACGTAGCAGGAGGGATTTGGACACACAGCTGAAGATGCATCACGGATTTGACCACAAAGCAACACATAACGCCAGCTTTGATCCACAAGCACATGTGGGATTCTCACATTCTGCTTCAGATGGAGCTGCGGCTGGAAACAGGTTAACATGCACAACATTTGATTCTCTGATTCTGATTCTCTTTAGGCCCTTTAAGCACTTCACCACTGATGAAAGAGACAAAAGACACAAATAAATAAACAAATGTGGGAGGAATTTCTGTAGAAAACATCTTCACAGTGAAGTGAAAGAATTTGAATGATTGAATGAAATGGGCCACAGCGAAAGTATACAAGGGCAAACACTTTTGAATTATTTTGTGGAAGACTAATGAAAATCTGTCTGTTCTTCCAGTTCATTGTTTACGCTTTAAACCTTTAAGCCCTTCAAATCTTGCTCGTTTTTTTTTTTTTGATATTTCCACTGTGCATCTTTTCATTCTGTAGCTTTTATTTGCTCTTGTCTGAAAAGTGTTTTTTTGTTTTTTAAAAAAAAAAAAAAAACTGCAATGCAAATACAGGTCATCATTATAACAGGATCTGTCATATTCAGTAAAGAAAAAACAAAACAAAACTCCAGAGCATTTTTAAAGACTTCATATGATATGTGCAACAAGCTGACTTCAGCAGACACCCACACACCGGCATAAGAGACAGGCCGGCTGATCGTCGACAGCGTGCTCACACACTGAGGGACTAATTAGGCAGGTTGTGGTGGAATGATGGGGATGTTACAGGAGACATTTTCCCTGCTGGTAGTCAGCTGTGTGTGTGTGTGTGTGTGTGAGTGTGTTTGTAGGGTGTGTGTGGAGGTGTGTGGGATGTCAAACATCCTACTGACCCACTTCTTACATGTCTGACTGTGAGTATGTGAGGCTGTCAAAAAGTGTTTTATTGCAGCTTATAGACGACCGAGGAGGGAATTACAGTATGTGGATGCTTTTGTGTGCTACATTAGTAGGAGTAAAATATATCCACGCACACTTTTTATGTTATGCATGATGACTCTATTCAACTGGGGATTGAGAGCTACGGTGAATATGAAATATGATAGTGGAATAGTGAGGGAGAGAAAGAGAGAGCGAACGCCTGGTATGTCAGACATGGGAAAATCAATGTGTTTCAATGGGGGGCTATAGTGTAGTGTCAGGCTTAAGGTTAGCATGTATACACATTAAAGTGGCTGCAAACAGTAAGCAGCAGGGTTTGTGTGCACTAAATTTGTTTGTAAAGTGTATATGTGAGGGAGAGACAGAGGAGGAGAAAAAATAGATGTGTACTGAGGCCATGGATTAGCAGACACCAACTGGCAAAGGAATCCATCATATGGTAATAAAAAAAAAAGGCAAGAGAGAAAGAGGGATGGGGATAAGAGAAGAAGAGAAAGAGACAAAGAAAGAGTTGACAGAATCAATGAATATGAAATAGCTAAAAAATAAATTAAACAAAAAAGTTAAACGAGGAAAGAAAAAGTAGAAGAGAGGTAATCCAGAGGTGACAAAAGAGAAGACAGATGGAGAGAATAGAAAGGGCCGAGAGGAAGAGAGAGGCGACAGAGAGGCAGAGAGGCAGGAGAGAGAAACAGATGGTGGCAGAGAAGAGGCAGATAGAAACTCACTGGGAGCACAACACTGGCTCAGCCAGCGAGGCACAGCGGGGAGTATGGAAAGCTGAAAAATGTCAGTGGAAAGGGAGGAGGAGGAGGAGGATGTCGAGAGGAAGGACGGAGCACAGAGGAGGACCGATTCCAAAACTCTACTCTTACTCTGCTTTTATGGAAAATGCTATGATACCTGATAGTCTTCACAGATGTTAAGTTCAGATATACCGTGAGTTTTATAACGAAAAGTGTTGTTTTAACACCTTATTTCAAGGTGTTTGTATAAATGCAGCACACTTCAGTTCATGTCCTCTTATAAACACTCATCCATCAAGTGATTCATCTAAACATGACTAATTCATTTCATATACAAAAAACTACACATTCAAATGATATATCAGGCTGCCAAGTTACCCTTCCAAATTTTCAAGAAAAAAAAAAGAAAAGAAGAGTTTCTGTATAAAATCAGACAGCGTGAACTGGTGACTACATTATCAGTTCGAGAATATTAATCAGACCCCCATGCTGTGCTGTAATAGCAGTAAAGTGAATGATTAGCTCAGGCTGAGTTCAGAAGGTCTGAAAACGTCCCAATGAAACTGGAGCTTAAACAATTCCTTTAATGTTAGTTCGGCAGTCATTTTAAAATGTATTGAAAAGAAGAAAAAAAGCTGTCAAGATGATGGTGGTGTAAAGATGACACAAATAAAATACAGTAGATACCCAGGTTTATGTTAGGATACTTGATTGTTTATGTACAGTAAATCTGAAGTGACTTTAAATTCTCAAAAATGTAATATAAATGTTTTTCAGTCTGATTACAAGCTCACAAGCATTACTCTCCAGTGTTTTACACACACACACACACACACACACACACACACACACACACACACACACACACACACACACACACACACACACACACACACCTAAAGACACTTTGTCTCTATCTATCATGTCCAGAATTCAGGCAGGCTAAATTAGTCATGAATGGTTCAGTGTAAACCACATTAAGTGAAAGGCTGATTGAATTGCAAAGCACAGTGGAGCAGACATCTCCAGAAAAGAGCTCTGTGTGTGTGAGTGAGTGTGTGTGTGTGTGTGTGTGTGTGTGTGTGTGTGTACAAATCCACAGAAAGTTTTTCTCTGTATTGTACCTACATTACATTGTATTACATTCATTTAGGAGACGCTTTTGTCTGTGAGTGACTTACAGTAAGTGCATTTAACCTCCAAACAAACAATGAAGAGCACATTTGGTGCTACAGTACTAGCACATAAATGACCAAAAACGTCTATTTGTGTACTGAATGTGTTGTGGGTCATCAAAGAGTCACATCATTTAACAGGTGGGCGTTTGGTGTCTAGCTCGGGGCATTTTGCCAGTACAGCAGAGTGTTGCAGCCAGTGGTGGAGTGACTAAATGAGCGGTTTTCACACTTGAAAAAGAACAAAGCTGCCGTCTTTTGGTCATTCATGTGTGTCCTGTGGCTTTGCGTGGTGGTCTAGATCAAAAGGCGATGATGTTCAACATGTCCAACAAGTGTTCCCTGTGTGAGTGTTTCCCTGTACTTGACCACATGCTGGCATGATTACACCATGACTACTTTTGTCCACTCAACCGTCACTTCATCTGTTTAAGTGCTTGCATTCTTACCATTCTCTCTTCGCCAAGTGTATCAAAAAAAAAAAAGAAAGTTGTCCACCTACAATCTCCGTGGCTGTTGCCAAATCCTTTGCCTACTGTACACATTTTAATGGCTGTAGACTGTGGAACCATAAGTACTGGGTTCAGCAAAAGATTTAGCCAGAAATGCTTCTGAAGGTTGCATTCCCCACTGTAACTTGGTTAAAGTGAAAAATACAGAGTTGGATGTCAAACATTCAGATCTACATGTTTGTGTATAATATTTGTGCATCTACAAATGTTTTTCTTTTGTACACAGAGGTGTGTAGGAAGTCTTAGGCATTCGGTTTCTCAGACCAATTACATTCGAGAACACAAGTAATTGCTTATCATAAATATGACACAATCACATTCATGGGAACACAGACACATAGACAGAATAGTTTCAGAGCTGACGTAGTGTCTGACAGCTGTTTGGTTGGTTGAGGCAGAAGAATGCAGTGAGTCTTTTTGTACATGTGTGAATGTGTGTGCGCGTGTGAGTTTGTGTGTGTGTGTGTGTGTGTGTGTGTGTGTGTGTGTGTGTGTGTATGTGTGAGTGTGTGTGAACAGCCGGAGTGACTGACCATCACTGTAATGTAAGGGGAAATGCCTTCCTCAACCACAGCCCCATTTTCCTAGACTCCAACATACCACAAGTGAGAATCAACTGCCTGAAGGTTCAAGGTGCTTCGAGGAGGGAGGAATGTTATCTCGGGTGAACACATGTCTGGAACCACCAGTGTCCTTTACTTATCTCCATCCTTTATCTACCATTCCACAGTCTTTTGTTACTGGGAGTGTGTACGTGGCAGCTGCGTTAGCTCCAGTGCCACGAAAAGAATTCCTGTTACCGACCTGAACTATTTCTAATATCCAATTTTGTAATATACTGTTGGAAGGAAGGGAAGAAGAAAGAGAGATCACAAGCCAGGAAGCAAATACAAATCATTCAGCAAAGACAAACATAAAAGAAAGGCCAACATATCCAGGTTTACAGTACTCTCTCTCTCTCTCTCTCTCACTCTCTCTCTCGTCCTCCCTCCAGTTCCCAACTCTTTCCAATCAAACACCATTTATAGCCATTATTCCCTGCTTAGCAACACTCCAGTCTACCGCTTCATGCGAGTGACAATCGGGGATATTCGCCATCAAACCACACCATAACAAGGAACGATGCTACTGTGAGATATCTGAGCGTACTCTACAGCTCTCTGGTACATTTCATATGGTTTCACTGATGGAGGTCATAGTTCTCGCCCACTCTCAGAGACCTCAATCAGGACATTTTCTTAGTGGGTGTATAGAAAGAGCGCAGAGTCAGTGGGTGTACTATGCAATAATATGGATAAAAGTTGGAGCACCGTGACTCCTGCTCGATTAGCCAGCTGTGGTGGGCGGGATCAGGTTGCAGTCATGTCTCTTCATCGTTCATCATCAATAAAAAGACGATAAAGAAAGCAACACGTTGACTAATTGAGTTATTCCTCTGATTAGACCTGAATGTCTGATTAATCAGCTCAAGGCGGCAGCTG